AGAAATCGCATAGTCGCTTGGTATTTAGAGAGAAAGAGATGTCTATTCCCAAATGGACTCTGCTATCTCTCTCTTTCTCTTTCATTCTCTTTTTCTCTTTATTGTGCACATGCTACGTTACCGTGTTCATCCTTGTTAAGGCCTTTTCGTTTTAACGTAAATGCGAACTCTCCCAAGCCCCGTTGAAAGCTGCCAGGATCCTCAGCGACCGCGAGAACGTGGAAATTTCGTAAGGGATCTGAATTTGCGAACGTGACGGGCTTGAAAATTCCTTTAGGGTTTCCCTCAGTATCCTCCCCCCAACCCCGCCTCCCTACTAGATCCAACTGTAGAAGACTACCCCCTCGCAAAACTAGGAAAAATAAATTAAGTTACTGGGCTATTCAACGCTACCCACGAAACACTTAACGCTCTTAGATTCTAATCAGTTTTTTTTATCTTTTTCTTTTTTACGACTTAGCGGAAGTTTCCTAATCTTTTCTTCTTTTTTTTTTCTTTTTTTTTTCTCTCGTTATTTTTCTTCCTTGTTTTTTTTTCTTCTTCTTCTTCTTCTTTTCTTTCGAGAGAAAATATTTAATAATTTTAATATTCGAATTTTTGTTTTGTTTTTTTTTTTTTTTCATTACTTTGAGAAAAGAGTTTCACGAGTTTCTCGAGAGAACATGATATTTTAGTATTACCAACCCTGCCGCAACATTTTTTTCTTTGCTCGTAACATTTGGCTTTCGTTTTTGTTTTTCTTTTTTCCTCTTTCTCTCTCTCTGTTCTACTACCTTTTACCTTTTACTTAAAATTAATAATTAGTCTAACTAGCTCGGCCACTTTTTAACCGAAATGATTATCTACAAATTCGATCCGCGGCCGTATATTATTATAACGTTTTAATTAATAAAATACGTATTCTTGATACAAGTACGTTAATTCGAATACAATTATTTATTTTCCCCCTTTTTTTTTTAATTAATTAATTAATTAAACCTAAACTGCAATTATATAAACAAATATAAATTTAATAAATAAAGTTGATTTGGAATTTAGATATAGAAAAAAAGAAAAATTGTTATCCCATTAAAAAGTAGCAAAGCAATTCGTATAAAAATTTTCTAAATGTGTATGAAGCGGAAAAAAAAAAGAAAATAAAACAATTAATTAATTCACGTACAGTAATATACAACACGCAAAGCATCTAACTTTTATTTTTTGATTGTAGAATATAGATATAATTTAAAAGAGTTATACGAAACGAACACACGTTGTTATATACACCCGGTATATATAGTGAAACCGCACATCTGTGATACTTGAAAAAGATGTGTATGTCTCTCTGTAGCTACACAAACAGACACACACACATACACATGCATATACCTATAAATGCGAAACAAGAAATATATATAATACATAGCCGGAAATATAACAGCTCTCTTGCTAGAAACGAGAATACACTAAAATGGAATATAGTGATTTATCGTCGAACGTGGGCCAGTCAATTTGTCCTATTTCCACGCGTGAACTGTCTCCCATCGTGAAGCCTTGTCCCGTAGGATGCTTCGATAACACGGCTTTCGTTTCATCGGAATACAAGGTCGACACGCTTGTTTCGCAACATTTATGGACATACCGATACCACGAAATTCTTCTTATCAAGAAATCCTGAACTATTTGAATTGATGTGATCGTTTAATATTATGTTATCAACTTCATTATATTTCTCGTATAATAATCAAACAATAAATCATTGAAAATTAATTTTTTTTCTAATATATATTTAATATAACTACGAATAATTATTATTATGGTAAAATTCACAAATGACTTCTCGAAATACGTTGATGGTTACATCGAGAAGACGTCATTTATCTCGTAATTTACTGAAATATTAATTAATTATTGGTCATTAATATTCTTCATTAGAATGTCCCATAATAATTTCATTAAATGATATTTTGAAATGTGTAAATATTCATTTCTACTTTTAAGCTTACATAAATGTACAATTGAATCAAATTAAATAGGATTTCGGGGATATTATATTCTGTGTTTGATTTTGATGATAAACAAGATAATAATTTAACGAAAACATATATTAAATTTTGATTAATTAATAATATGAACATTATAAAATAAGAACAAAGTAAATAAATTTAAAATGAATGATTTAATCAATATTGCTAATACACAAATAAAAGATTATATAATATCATCAATAGGTCAATAATCTTATCCTTACATATTATACATTATCAAAAATTATACAATAAAAAGCATTTTAACGATCGTGTAAAAAAATTTCTTACGACAATTTAAATGGTAACGGAAGCTCGTAAAAAATTACGCAAATTTTTTTTTCTACGTCATTAAAAACTGAGATTGCTTAAAAAGGAACAAGACCGTTTTTGTTCGCGACAAAATTGAATTTCGAATGAGGTTGAATAAAAAAAAAGTTACACGAAAAGGAAGAGCTCGAGAAAAGAAGAATGAAAGAAAGAACACGTAAAGCTTAACAAGGAATTAAGTCTTCCCCCTCCCCCTCCTACACCCCTCCTCTTTCTCTCTTTTCATCATCCCATTTAATTCGTATTATAATTTTTCTTCTCCTTTCCTTTCCTTTCCTTTTCTTTTCTTTTTTTTTTGTTTGTTTTCTTGTTCTTATATTCTTTCACTCTCACTGTTAAAGTCCTTCAACGTTAACGTTCCTTTTATTCTCGTTCGTGTGTCGTCGGCAAATCTTATTTAAGGCAGATTTATCGTCGGCCTCCGGACCTGAAATCGAGCAAGGATATTACACTGGAGCCGGATGCGCCTTTCACAATGCGACTTCTCTCCACTCAAAAAGTGTCATAACTCAAAAGCCGAGCGCCTCTTCGAGCACTTCCGCCATTCCAGCACATCGTGTGCCAAAATCTCTTTCTCTCTCTCTCACTCTCTCACTCTCTCACTCTCTCTCATACACACACTCTTTTTCCTTCTTACCCATTCTACTCTTATACTGGACCTCTACTACTCACTGGACTTCTATCTTTCGTCGTTTGATAACTATACGTGTCGACAAACTTCTTTTCGTTATAAAAGATGCTAACCAAAATTTCGCAAACTATGTTATGTAAGAAAAAATACATTTATAATAGATATATTTTCTAATGATAATATATTACAATGTATAATCGTACATGTTAATGATTAAATATCATTTTAAATAATGAATATTAATGTTAATCAATGTTTATGTTTAATATAACGAATTAATAGATAAGAAATATCTTTATTAAGTTTGAGATATTTGTTAAGAAATTTTATAATTGATACAATTGATATTTGTATTACAATATTATTATCCAACGATAATAATTGTATGTTAATTCGGATGACTTGAAATATCTTTTAAGTGATAAAAATGATCAATTAAATGAAAAAAAAAGAAGGATTATTAATAAAAATTCAAATTAAAATCTAGAATTATGAATATAACTCGAGATACTTTTTAAGGGATTGTTTTTTTCGTATCGTCCGAAATACATTTCCCAATACATACAAAAATATTAACAAATAAAAACACAAAGTTACGTATTCTTTTATAAAAAAAAAGAGAGAAAAAACATACAGACACAAAACAAGAAATGTAAATCGATCCGATTGAAATGTTAATCGATGTTAAACAGGCACGATCGTAAATTATCACCATATTTATAATATGTTGAAACGATTTCACGGGCAATATAAAAACCAGAACGATAATATAATATATATATAAGAAAAATGATTGCAACTACGTATGAAAAATAATATATCTAATAATAATCGATGAAAGCAAACAGAATATAAGAAATAATAAAAAAGTGAAAAATATGATGGTTCTTATACTTACTTGTATAAAACCGATTGGATTCGGTTACTTTCGTTGTGGATTCGAAATGAGAATTCTGTCAGAAGGATAGGAAGATAATATTGAACAGGAGCAGGAGCAGGATCGACGATGACAAAAGACTTTTTTCTTTAACGAGAAAGAAAATCTATCATTCGTAACAACCAACCAGGGACGGAATAAGTTCACTGTGCGTGACGCGAGTTATCGAAGTTACTATACCATCGCCACAGTGTGGCTTTTTCGGTTCAATAACATTGCCGAAAAAGAGTTAGAAATGTTTTTCTTAGATCATTCGATCTCCTTCTATCATACTTTTCACTCTAATGAACAAACAATTTAACTCGGTTAAATCTTCGATCGGCTAATTTACGCTCGAGCGAGCAACATCATTGACGATTCTTTTTTTTTTCTTTTTTATTTTCTCTTGAATAATTGTGTTTTGCAATGTGGTTGTTATTGTTGTTCACTTGGTGGTTCTAAAAAACGGGAAATGGATTGATTGGTGGGAGAATATTCAATCAAAGTCTCCCAGATATTCAAAAAGGAACGGATCTTATGTCAACTTCAAAACTAGACCTATAAAAGGCAACGAGATATTCTAACGGTCATTCTTATTTCTAACGATCTCGGGATACCCCGTTTGGAGTTATTGTTATCAATTTTTTGGTTGTTAGAATGGTGGCTTTCAAAGTTAGTGCACAAAAATGGTGATATTTTATGGAACGATGTTTGTTTTCTTTTTTTTTGGTGGTGGTATCAATCTAACGTTAAAGATTAATATTCGTTAATCTTTTTTTTTTTTGCAGCAGCATACATTTGTTCCAATTATTTTTGAATCATTATCTTTATTATAATACAATTTTTATAACTATATTAACACATCTAAGATTACATTTAAATTAATTTCGCTTTATCGAAATTTGTATCTTATATTATTTGAACAATTTTTTAACAAAGCCCAATAATATTCGGTTGAAAAAAAATGCTGCATTAAAATATAATATTTTCTAAATAAAATAAATAAATAAGAGAGAGAATGAATAATAAATTAACTGATAAGTTTTGGCGTTAACTCTGACGTTATGTATATTAACACAACTAGTTACTCGGGATCATAGTAATCCTCTGCACGGTGATGCCGAGGAACGCAAAATCCGCTGGTCATGCACATTCCTTTCAACATTTTCACGGTCCAGTCATTGGTGAAAGTCATGAAGTGACTTGGAAGGACAAACATGGTCATCACGATCACGATTACGTAGCACATCCTCACTACGAATTCTCTTATGGTGTTGAGGACCATCATACCGGTGATTACCATGGACAAAAGGAACACCGGAATGGTAAGAACAAATACGAGAATTCAATTTTTTATTTTTTTGTTTTCATCAAACACTGTCGAAAAATTAATACCATTTCTATTAGTTTTTGATTTTGTCTCTTATCTTTTATTTTTTCCCCTATACATGAACACCATAGAACAAACTAAATTATTAAAATGCAATACTTTACTGCGTGTGATCTGAAAAATGATCAATGTAAAAAGTTTAATCAATGTTTTTCGATCTCATCGAGACAACTTCAATTTGTAATATCATTTTCACTCGCAACAACTCGCAAAGTATATTCGCATAAATCAATTTTTGTAATACAAAAAGGATAAAAACAAATAGAAAGAAAAATGTGTATGGTTTATCAAAGTACTACGTGATTAAAATTTTGTAATACCTTAATCCCCATACACGTTAATTGGGTTCTCAATCAAAGGATACCTCATGAATATGAATCTCTCGAGTTTGAACTTTTTTTTTCTCTGTCATTCATTAGGTTGCATCACATCATTACCAATTATTTCACGAAATATTCATTCAATCGAATTATTTCACGACTTTCTTTCTAAAGGTATATCTACGTTACTCTTCTTCATTTTTTTTTCTTTTCTTTTCTTTTCTTTTTTTATTACGCAACATTTTTATATCACGATAAAAGAGACGATCGAACTAATTAAATGAATAGTTTTAACCGTAAGCTTGCAAATTTTAACCAGCAACATACGCATACACACACACACATATATGTTCGTGCATGCTGCGTGTTTATCTTTTTAATTTAAAACAAAAATAGGAAAGAAAATTTATAACAAAATGTAAACCGTTCACTTTGAGAGCTTGATATAGTTGTAAAATATCTGTTTGATGTTCTCCATTTCGTTTGTAGCATCGTTGTTAAGTTAGACCCGCAGCCACTTTAATAGACTTAACAAGAACGTAATATTATGTGAGAGAAGTAATTATAAGCTCGACGGGATCTTCGTTTTCAAAGAGACACGTTAATCCAAGTATGCTTAGTTAGAATTGGTCTGTACAAAGAGACACCGGAATGATGGACGAATTTGAGGATTCCATTGCGTTCGTCAAAGACCAGACATATATATATATATAATATATATATACATAGTATATATAGGTATAACTGAAGGAATTCTTGGTATATTACCATGATACTTGATCATTAAACTTGTCAAATGAAATTTATTAAAATAGAACAAGTTATGAAAGTATTTTAAATCCAAAACGTAATCTTAACTTACATTAATCTTTATCTATATTCATGAGAATGATTAGAAGATTGAACTTATCAAAGAAACAGATAGATTTAAACTAGTAAATAATATATAACAGTGTTGGAATTACGTTACTTGGTATGTTATTATATTACTTGATGATTAAACCAGACGAATGAAATTAGTTCTAGGCAAGGCAAGTTATCAAAGTCTTTTAAAACAAGCGCTACTGCATCTTAACCTACATAAATGTCTATCTATGTCTAAGAGAATAATATTAGACTAATCTAATCATAGAACAAGTACATGTGCGTATGTATAAGTAAAGTACTAATCACATTTCTTAGTTTATTACGATAATCCTGGATGATTAACTAGACTAATGAAATTTATATGATCAAAGCATGTTATCTGATATTTTTAAGACCATGAAAACTTTATCTTCACTTTCAGTTGGATATATCTTTATCTATGTCAATGAAAATTATATCAAATTTTACTTAACAAATAATAGATATAAACTGTTCATATATTTTGGTTTAATTGGAATCACATTTTTTGATATGATACAATAATCTTATATGTATATAGGAATAATATTAAAATACACTCATCAAAGAATAAATACATGTGCATATATATATATAAATTAAGTACTAAACTGAAATTTATTTGAGTAGATCAAGTTATCAAATATTTTTAAAACTCATAACTATTCACTTAACAAAACTTTTATTTATATCTATGAGAATGAAATAATACTAACAATATTTTGTTTATTAATATAGGTAAAGAAGTAGTTGGAGAATATATAGTGAAGGAACCGGGTGGTAATATTAGAACCGTCAAGTATCATGCTGGAAAAAATGGATTTTACGCTCACGTATACAACAGTGATGGAAACGATCATGAATATGGAAAATACCATTAGAAAATATTCTATTAAATGTCATTACGTATATTCATATATTCTACGATATCTTACATGCTTATTTCATTCCCATTTCATTCCAAATTTCTATTACCAAAGAAACGTTACTATTCCTATCTCAGTTGTTCTGTATAAGTATTGTTCAAAAGAAATTCATTAAATGAATTAAAATCTCCCATATAATAGGATAAATTGTTATTTATTAAATTAATGAGATGAACAAATGAGAAAGTAGAATTAAAAAGAACAAAAAAATATATTATAGGTATATAAGAATGTGAGTTGTGTATAAAAGAAAAGAAAAATATAAAAATAAAAAAGGAATATAGAAAAGAAAGAGACGAGAAAGGAAGTAAGTAGACATTTTTGTTATTAAACGAATGTTCAACAAAAAAAAGCAAAGACACGTCGTTCTGTTTATTTTCTCACCGTTAACCTCACCGTCTACTATAATATTCACCTCTTCGAACGATCGATGAGATACTTAAGTGCCCTCGTTTTCTGCCACTCTGCAAAAACATCAAAGGTACCAGAAAGGCTTTTGTATGCGTCTCTCATTATGTATAAGTATGTATGGATATGTATGTGTACGTATGCGTGCGTGTATGTAATCATATAAGTGTGTATGTTTGAAGTGACGTTAAAAAGACTTCATCACGATGAAACGAAACCTTTAGTGATCTCAAAGACCTGCGAGAGACTATCGAAATTTACCACAAATTTGTCATCATCTTCTCCCTACGTAGCTTATTATCTAATTAACTCTTTGTCTAGGAAAACAATTAACCGAGTTTCCTATGTTATTTAATGTAAGAAACACTCGTAAGATTCCAAAGCTTTGATCATAATTATTATTAACCATTTGCATTCGAGAATTATTACAATAATTCGAACAATAACGATATTAATATATATGAGTTTCAAAGGGAAAATTGAAGACAGTTAATAAATTTTGATGAACAAATTTATTTGATCTTGTTGAACGTTTCGTCCCTTACTGGGGACTTCCTCAGCAACTCGATCACCTAGTTCACGCGTCAATACATATTATTTTAGAGTCATACATTATAATAAATTAATTAATCC